CTGTATTATAAGCCCTTAAATGTTTTTTTACATATTTTTAAACACATATTGTATGTAATTTTTTGTGTTTTCCCGACACGCAACTGCGCCTGTGTTTATGCTTTGTAATATTTTGTTTTTGCCATTTGGCGCTTAACAAAATTGCATTTAGCTTAAACACTGTAATTTGAGCCGCTTAAGCGCATTTAATTTGCTTAAACTACCTTAATTAAACGCAATTATGCTAAATGCAATTTTCGTTAATTATATTAAATGGCTGTGGAGTCCTGCGACCCTCTACACATTTCATTAAATGGGTTACTTTTCACCTAAGTTTTTTAAATTTAAGAAGAGTTATGCCAAAATTAAGGCGCAGAATTAAATGTGAAAGTCGTAGTTTGAAAGTTTCAGGTCATGAATAGGGAAACCTTTAATTTCATATTTGCTTAGGTCAGCTATTCATATTCATACTCATTCATAGTATTCATATGTCATGCAGCACACACATAATCTATCTTTTCTTTCTGTCATATTTCATTAAAGCATCTGCGTCGGCCAGCTCATCGCGCTTCACTCTACCGCCCCAGAGCCAAGCCATCGTTGAGAACGACGCCGCTGACTTTAGCTGCGAGGCCACCGGGCCCTCCGGCGACTTGCACTATGAGTGGCTGCATAATGGTGAGTATTCATTATGCCAGAGTTAGTTCGACATCGTGACTAAGGCTTCACACACTCCTGCCGCCCTTCAATGCCATTGCAGGTCAGCAAATCAGATACGACAGCCGCGTCCTGCAAATTGGCTCCAATTTGCGTATCGAGTCGGTGCAGCGCGAGGATGCCGGCGATTACGTGTGCATCGCAGCCAGCGCGGCCAGTGGAGCCAGGCAGGCATCGCCGCCAGCTAAATTGAGCGTGATATGTGAGTACCCGAACCAAAGACTAAACTAACGCGTTGRCCATGATTATGAAAGAGCTTGGTAAAATGTAAAATGTAGATGAGCTTAAGTGAACTCTTAACTSAACTTAACAAATATTAAGTCGGAGCTGTCTGTATAGTTATCGTCTATATTATATTTGCTAAAACCAGTTCCTTAGGGTTTGGTCAATTTGCAAGCAAACCAATTCTGAGCATCGCCTTTAAAGAAGAAATTTTTATGTTCTTCTAAATATTTTCTAAAGCGAGATTTTAAAAATCCATCGTATATAATCTCATACATATTTCCTTCCATTTTTTTTTTTTTTTTTATTAAAAAAGAATTTCTTTTTTATTCGTCCTTTATCATGTATATGTGATATTTATGGCAATAGCTTTATGCGCAAAGCTTTTAATAGTTTATAATAAATTATATTAGCACAATTAAGTGCAGTGTCATTCAAATTTGGTATCTTAACAATGCAATTAATGAAATATACTATACTTAATTATTTAAATATGAATTTAAACATACATATATATTTATATGTTCTAAAGATGAACAAAGCATTTTATGCAAAGTTTTTTTTTCTCTAAATAAATTTTAAAATGCAAAACTTGCAATTTATTTAGTTTTTAATTAATTTTCAAAATAATTATAAATAAATTCAATTTTTTAAAGGTATTGGTTTGGGTTGCATTTTAAAATTAAAATGTTGATATTATATTATATATTCATTAAAGTTTAACCAGATAAATACAGGAATAGYACGCATATTTAAATATAATAATGACTTATTTGAATTGTCTACTGTCTGTCGTTAGCGTAAATAACAAGAGATTGGTACTAAATTTATGATTAGGCCCGTCTAGCATTAGCTGACTTCCCTTTTCCGGCTAGCGCTTTGCCTGATCGGAGGTGCAATCAGGCAAAGGTGCAGACGCATAAAAACACACAAGTAACAAAGGCAACAACAACAACCGCAGCAGCAGCAACATTGATGAAAGATAAAAAGCAAAACTTTTGATGTACATACGTCACGCACAACAACCGCCTGCCTCATGCCCCGCCTCCTGCTTTGCCTGTGTACAGGAAGTGCAGTGCAATGCATTTACCAGCCAGCGTTGCGTGGCCAAAACGAAGACACACACAGCAAAAGAAATACGAAATGACAGAGAGAGAGAGA